TATTTTGGCAATTGCCTAATTATACTGCTACGGCTAGTCAGCTTCAGTTCGGAGGCCATGGGTCTATGGGTTCCTTGTATACATCTTATCTCTGGGCGCCACCAAGTTAATTGTGACTTAACTAGAAAGATTACTTATTGATGTTATATCAAAACCTGTGCAATTGGAGAGCTTATCAATAAAACAACTAATTAGGTACAATAATGTATCTGGCTTCTTTATTAAAAAATAATAACAATAATGGATAGGGATAGCCAGGACGTTGTTAAAAATGTGTATACATTATTGCTTGTACCAATTTATAAATATTTGATTATAAAAAAATGAATGTAAATAACGCATATATAAATATAAATTTTAAGTAAACATGACTAAAAACCTTTTGGTATTTACACTTGTGAGTGATAAGTAATAAGTAATACAGTATGGGTTACACTTTACCAACAGGCAAATTAAACACAGAAAGGTGAAAGTTATTGTTAGCGCAACCTCAGGGTAAAATTCTAGAATTTTAATTAAGGGGCATTTACTGAACGTAATTCAGTATCAAGTGATTTACATAGGATTTGCCTAAATAGTAAAAGGTGTAACTTACATGTGATACAACTGTTTGTTATCTTCAAATGTATGTGTTAATCCAGAAGTTCCAAAAGTGAGGTTATCTAATGTCTGCCCAGCGAATCTGTGTCTACGGGGCAACGGTAAGGGGAATGCAGTTGTCAAAAAAAATGGCTGATTTCATTCATAAAATACCCAGCTGCGTGCGGAACTTTTTGGAAATGTTATCGTATTGCAATTCGTACACGAAAATCAGCAATTACCAAATCTCCGCCACTGGATATTTCAATATAAATCGATATTCCAAGATGGGAGGATAAAATGACGTGAGCCCTGGCCAATAGCGAGACGTAAGGTGACGTTAGCTCATTGACAACCGTATGGTTCCCCATGACAACGGCGATCCTGCCAAAAACTCCACCAATCAGGTTCATCCAGGACGGATGCTTGCCAAATTGTCAAAAGCTGATGGTATTTTTAGAAAATGTTTATTTTTTACAATAGACCAAATTGAAGAAATCAGGATTAAAATAAAGATAGATCTAACAACCACGTTAAAATATTTAGCGTTTTATTATTGTATCAATATTTTGTTATTAAAAAATGGATTTTCAAATTAACTATACTTCATCCCTAGTATTTTCGCTTTTTTATAAATAAACGTGGCAACATGGCACATTTACTTCCGAATTCCTTCCGTAGACTGAGATCCGCTGGGCAAACAATACATGTTTGGTCTCACTATAGATAGACAATGGTATGGTAAGTGAGTCATGAGTCCTATCCACGTTGTATCTGTTTAACGTAGAACCCAATGTGGTTCTAGCAGAGCGATACCAAGAGAGTTGCTGAAGAAAGGCTACCAAAGCCCCAACTGAGAGTAATCTAGATCGGTCTAGAATCTCTCTAAATACAGCCTAGCAACTGTCCAACTATAGCCTAAGACTGTCTAGCTACAGCCTAGCACTAGGACCCTATAACGATGTTCGTATAAAAAAACAAATCGAGCCCCAAATATTAGAAATAATCTTACCTCAAATTGAGGGATACTCTAGATCAAAGGTGAAGTCTTAAACTTCCAAAAGCTGCTCGGAACAGTCCTATTAAAAAAAGGAACACGTGTTGTAGGTTAATATTTCCTGAATAAAATCTCAAAACTTACCGAAACAAAATCCAAAATGACCCAGGGACGACTCTCGACAATTATCAACAAGAAATTAGTCTAAACCTTGTGTTCCCTGGCACAAAAATCCAAAAAGTCTCGCCCAAAATCAATTAGGGGCCGAGACCAACCTTTCGGTATCAAGTCTCAAGATCAAAAGGGTTGATTCTTCATTTAGATTTCAGAAGAAAGCTTTCACTTGTCAAACTTCTAATTTTGACATTGAAGAAAATTATAGAAAAAAGCGTGTTCAGTTTCACCCCAAGAATGCGAACTGGAAGTTTGGTTGTGTAAAAATGACTGGTAAATGTTGAAAAGTGCCTATAGAACATATATCAAAAAGTAGAACAGGTCTAAAGAAAACGCCTAGACAAAACAGCTGTTCAATGATATGATCGAAATGAAAAATCAAAAGAAGTAAACAACAATTTATCCTAACCTCAGATTATTTATTAATTGGATTTGCAAACAGAGATGATGAAAAAATCTCTCCTTTATATAAGATTCTAATCAATAACAGCGGGCCCTCCGTACTGAATCAAAGCTTCCTAGATCAATTAACTAAACTTGCAAACCTGAGCTAAAAAACTTTCAGTAGAAGGCAGTACTCAAGGTAATAAAATCTGGGCACAGAAAAGATAGTTGTTCATTCATTTATTTCTTTATAGTTCTATATAGAATCATATCTACTAGAGCAAAACACAGTAGCATATTAAATAAGAAATTGAAAATGTTACAGACTGACTGATTCATAATCAACGTACAGCAGAAACTATGATAGCTACAAACTTGAATTTCCAGGATACCTCTTACCACGTAGAGGTACCTACACTAAAAAATTGTTTCGTAAAATTTTGGTTTTTGATTTCTATGACAAAATGTGGTTCTCTAATAGAAATAAAATGTATTAGGTAGATGATATTAATTTAATTAACAATAACATATTGGCCTTACTAAATTGCATTACAATTAAAAACAAAAATCTGATTCGAGTCAGAATGTGAACCCACCATCACTTAAGAGACATGTTAACCACTAAGCTATTGAGGCCCATGGAATTTTTCAACGGTTAACGCTAGTAATAATAATAAAATGATTAAATTGTGCGATAGGTATATTCAATAATTTAATTTTTTTTATTTCTGAAATTCAATTTTTTCCTTCATTGTTGAAAGTAATAAATACTTACTCACATAATAGTAGCAACATAAAGTAAACGGAATTTCCTAATAAATAGACAAAGGTTAATGACTCGTATAAGCTCAGTGGTAAGTTAATTTCGCAAGAGCATAATAATAAAACCTAATAATGAAGATTTTCATAACAATGCTATGGCGTTGAATTTTAGCACATTTTGGGATTTTAGATTTTTTTTTTTAATTTCAAGAACTTGCTCTTCTTACATCAAGTATTTACATAGCTACCTATTTTCATAAGTACAGTTAACTAAATTGCGGTTATTTGACGCAACTAAATGCAATGTCCAAAGAGGGATTAATAGTAGATTATACCACGAGTCAATAATGATAGCTATTATTCCCGAGGAATATTTACGAACTGAGCCGCGTTAGCGGCGAGGGAGTAACATTTTGAGGGAATAATAGCCATTATTGCGAGTAGTATACTCTACTTTATTTACGACAAATTCATTTATTTCAAATTTTCGTTTCAAAAACGCTCGTTGTTCATCCATCTCAATACAAATACACAAGCACTACGCGTTTGACATTGTCACTTTTGATTTGAGTTTGTTTATATTGGTTCCATGGTACCACTTATTTAATTTGAGAAATTTTGTGATTGGTCTGCAAGCGGGAATAATGACCATTAATCCCTGCGGGGAAAATATATGGCATTAAACTGTCACAATATCAAGTATAATACTTACATTATATGTCAGTAGTAAATAATAGTAGATTATACCACGAGTCAATAATGATAGCTATTATTCCCGAGGATTATTACGAACTGAGCCGCGTTAGCGGCGAGGGAGTAACATTCCGAGGGAATAATAGCCATTATTGCGAGTAGTATACTCTACTTTATTTACGACAAATTAATTTATTTGAGATTTTCAATGAACAAATTTCATCCGTCTCATAATTTTCAATACAAATCCACAAGCACTACACGTTTGACACTGACACTTTTGTGGAATAATGATCATTAATCCCGCTACTCGTCATTAATCCCTGGAGGAATAACATATGTCATTATACTGCCAAAATCACAAATATAATACGCACATTATACATTAGTCGTAAATAAATAATATTAAATACATATTAGCAAATTTGAATGAAAAACGTAGGAAAATTTAATGAGAAAAAGAAAAATAACACCTATGCACATGAGGCTCTCATCAGCCCTGAGGGCGACAGTCTTACAAAGCCGAGGGCCTCTGGCCCGAGGGTACGTAAGTCGGCCGAGGGTATATATATCTATTAGTACCCGTGGTGCATACAAATTTTTATGTCATACCAGTTGGTTGTGAATAATAAATACCTGGGAAAAAAGTGTCACTTTGCAAATTGTCATCAGTGTTCAAAAACATCATTTTTTGACAAAAATAATATGTTTATAAGCGTAAATTTATATTTTATTAATAAAGAATAAGTTAATTGAAAACTTTTTTTTGCGTCTTTATGCCCGCGCGGGCCATAATGTGTACTTTATGCCCGCACGGGCATAAAGTAATGAATTATATAAATGGTATCTAAGGTATAAAAACACAATAATGTATTGGTATGACATAAAATGAATTATGTGAAAAAAAGATACAAAAAACAAACAAAATCGAACAAATGAAAAACAAAGAAAAACTAATTTCAAAGAATTTCGTAGCCAAATATTTTATTCAATTACGAACTACTTCTCAGAAATTGGAAAAAATGACTGACATAAATGGAAAAAATGTTAGCTGAAGAAATCAAAATGAACCAAACAAACATTATAGAAGTGAGGAATATAGTGCAAAAATTCAAGGGAAGCCGCTTTCCTGGATTCACAGAGATGGTTGGAGATCGGAAATGAATTTAGAAGACGGAGAATCCTATAGATCGATAATTAGGTAATAATATGGTTCTTCAGAAAGATGGTCATCAATAACTTTGCAAGCTGGAGTAAGTAGAGAAACTTTTTCGAGAAATAAATTGTCCAAAAAATATTTCAGGTGTTACAAAATAAAACAAATATGTACATAACAAAATACGTGAGTGCGGAAATACATAAACTATATAAACACTTGAAAAAAGAGAAGATAAATTCAAAAACACTTCAATGTATCCATCGAGATTTTTAATTGTGATAATGAAAAATCTTTAAATAATCGAGAGAATGTTTTTTTAGCTACAGTTTTAAAAAAACGCAGCAAAAATGAAGTTTTTCCTGGCTATCGTTGCTCTCGTAGGCTTTGCCAGCAGTTCTGGTAAGTATCAAAATGTATTATCTATTTTCAAATTAAAACTATAATTGTTTATCTAATCGTTGCTCTTTTGTAATGTATTTGAATAATATTAATCATTCTTAGAGGTTGAAGATCTGGAAGCGTGCAAACTCTTCCTCCAATGCGCCCACAAAGCTATGGATGGTGGAGTCCCATCTATTCCAATTCCCAACCATAATCCATTGCAAATTCAAGATGTTATTTATGGTAACACAGCATATGCAGCAAAGTAAGTATTTATTATTGTTCTCATGTAATATGTGATGTTTTCACTCCATAGCCTATTTCCATTACTGCCTAAATTTATTAGTTTTTAATATTAAACAAAATAACCTAATTTCTTATTTTTCCTCTATCAACCATTCTTCCAGCGTAACTAATAATGTCCTGTACAACTTGACTGATTTCGCCGTTACACAATTGAATGCTACTACCTACGAAAACCCTGGTAGAGTTGCTTACTACTACAACGTTTACTGGCCACAATTGAACTTTACTGGTGAGTTCGATATTGCTATATACACCAAGTTTTTCCCTCTACGCTTCCATGGAACTTACAAGTAAGTATGATTTTGTGTCATAGAATAATAAAATTCATTATTTCTGCTGTGTCAATCTCTATTTTGATTATCTAATCGATTTTAGTAAGAATAACTTTGATTTACTAAGTACCTACTTGAATAATATTCCCTTTCATTTACAGTATTGACATGCGTGAAATCAACTGGAGAGGTATTTTCAACCTTACTAAGCCAGGTCAAGAAGGCGTCAAAGAACATTTAGATGACTTTACTCTTAAATCTAAAGCTAAAAGTGTTAAGGTAAGTAAGCTAATATTCGAGAGATCAACTGCATAGTCCAAGAACCAGCAGCATATTATTCCCCTGATGGCGAAATAAACCAAATTTTGCACAGAGGTATATTCTTCTGGTGATTATCACGAGGGTTTCATTAATACTTACATGAAATCAGAACTCGTATATTTATGTTAGAAGTCTTACAGAAAAATGGTAGAGAGAAAAATCATAAATAAACTATCACTAGGTTGATAATTGAAGGTTATTCTGTCAAGATAGAGTTTCATGTAGAAAGTCTAGCTTATGTTCCATTTACTGAGAGATTGTGGTAATATTGATTTGATGACCAGCATAATTATAGATGCCTTAGTTATTGGGTTTCACGTAAAAAAAAAAAACATAGCTAGTTATTTATTGTATTTTTTTTTCGTAGGTTACCTTCCAGGGGATCAACGGTATCCTAGCTCTCGCACTCGAAACATCTTTCACGTCGGCAATAGGGATTTTAATGAATAACTTCCCAGAAGATGCAGCTGTCTTTTTGAAAGAACAACGTTTTAATGGTTTTTGGCTCGCCAACCCTGACAAAATCGATCAACTCATTGCATTCTGCAATCAATAGGGATGAGCACAGAAAAGTGCCAGCACTTGGTAATTTACTTATCTCAAATGACAGTTGTCGAAAAAGTATTCATATAGTTTTCAATGCTTAGGAAAAATCCTTTGGTATGGTGCTTACTTCAACTCTTGTAAATTACCTATTTTAATTCTGGTTAATTTATGTTTAATAAAATTTTAAATGTTGTTTTGTAAGTTTTTTTTTTTAATTTTAATTTTTTCACTTGCCTATATGAATATATTTGTTTCTCGACCAAAACCCTTAGTGAGCGCAAAAAAAATTGTTGCCAATTATTATATGCCAGTAAATTGCTTTTGAATTTTTGTCACGGTTCAAGTTCCACCTTGTGAGTTTCTGTCTATCATAGGTAATTTTATTGTTGTTAGCCAACAAATCATGGCAAACTAGAAGCCATTTTTTTTGCGGATCCCACATTTCGATGTTGTATCGACTTTTTATCAGATCGCCCATAATCATGCCTAGCTGTACTCAGCGCTTGTCAGCGTATACAGTATTGCCAAAAATCTGTAAACTCTACTCATTACTTGACTATATAAACCTTCCCAAAGAAAACACAAAATACAGCTTATTCAATAATTCTGCATTTTAAGTCGTTTGAACTACTCTCTAAATATTATTTGTTCCAATTCATTCCAATTCTCAATACGAAGCATTTGTGAAAAAGTACCATGCCAGGCATGTAAGTAACTTTTTCAAAAATGCTCGTTTGCTCTATTCTGTAAATACTTGTATCTGGCAGCTCCTTCGTTTACATAATATGATGTATCAAAAGCCATGTATGTTATATGGATTTCACGACTACAATGACCTCCAGACGCGTCTCATCGCCACGGTTGTACAAAGTATCGCAAAGTCTAGACGCTTCTTCAGCAACTTATCCTGTCTGAACATGTCACGCCAAGAACTGCTCCATCTTCACTACGCTCCCATAGAAATAGCAAGATCAACATGATTTCAAATATAAAAGAGCCTGTCTCTTTAGTTAGGTCGTGTACGAATAATTGTGCATCACGTGCTGAGCGAGATAGGGTGTCATTTTTCCGATTTCCTGCAATTTTGACCAAGAAAGGAGAGCATTTGAATGCACTGTCGGAAGTCAGAAGAAATGCTTGGATTAGAACTTAGAAGCGAGGCCCTTTAAGGAAAAGCATGGTAAAACATGGTCGTATTTGTTCCAAACATTTCATAACAGGTAAGGGATTTAGTATAGAAAAAAGCATATTTCAGTTTTAACTAATTATTTAGCTAGTTATGAAATTAAGTATAAACTGAGATAAACTTGTGATTTCTTTCAGGAAAACCAGCTGCCTTAGATGATAATACTAATCTGGATACCCAGCCAGAATTTGGAATACGTTTCCAGCAACCTACCTAGTATACATCTGCATTATCTAGATTTGAGAGGTCCTTAAAAAGAGCGTGTTACGTTAAAATTTTGCCTTAGAACGTAATTGGAGATTTCAAATAAATTCAGTAATTAATTCACGTATTTGTGAGGGTATTTAGAAAGCTTTACACCTGAGGTTTATATTTTTCAGTGATTGATAGGTTGCTCATTGGATTTTACTGGGTTTCTGCCTTTTTGTTTGGATGCGAAACAATATCTAGTTGTTGAACAAGGGTATATTTCTCAAGGTAATAATGAGTAAATTCTTTGTATTCAGATGACAGGGTAGTTTTAGGACAATAAAGCCCTACTGTTAGGATCGAAATCTATTTTATTTAGCTTTCGAAAGCTGTCTAAAAAGCCCTAACTGTTGATGCAAAGGTTTGTTTACTTCCAAATAAATATCAATTGGCAACACTTACGAATCTCGTATTTTCCATTATTATAAATTCTGCAACATCACAAATCACTTCCGCACCCTTTAAATCGATTTTTCACCCTTAATTCCGATTTTATTTGCATTTTCCTGGTTATTTGTTTTCGCCGAATAGTGTGGTTAAGTGACACTTGTTTCGTTTCAGGCAGCGCTGCTGCTGACGTTTCTTGACCACTGTGGGTGATAGAGTCACTGTAGTTGTGACCACTCAAACGACTGGTCATTTTGATAGTTTTTGTACCGAAGACTGGGTAGAGGTTGTTTAATAAGTAATTAATTAGTGTTAATTAGTGTTAGGGGAGAAGATTTGATAACAACTTTGAGTTATGTCGGTCATCAATGTGATTTGGGTTGTTCCGTTTCAAGCTGATTGTTCCGTTTTCCTGGTCAAGACTGGAAATCTGGCACCAGAGGGCATCTTGGAAAAAAATAGAATTCTAGAACATTTTTCATATTGAGCTCACCTAATAAATCGCTGAAAATAAGGTCGATCTTTTAAAATTCGCACGTTGAGCAAACAACAAGTGGCAGATTTTACCAGCGGTCCTCTTTGCTAAGTTCCTTGGAACATCCACGTTTTGTGGGATTTTGGAGGCGTTGGTTGATGGGTTGGATCTTCCAATGTTTCCGATGGCCTGGGACTGGATCAGGGCCGCAACAAGAAGCAACTGGCCCTGGGCACTGAAGTTCAGTAACTAGGAGTCACTAAAGCTTCCAATTGTCTAGAGGAGGCTGAAGATAGGAGGTACGGCTTGAAATATATAAGCTTAACGTATAACTCTTTAATGGAAGTTAGGGACTAAAGCGTGACGACTAAAGCGTGATCAATAAAGGTGATGGATAAAGGCCTGAAACAAATGAACTTTATGAGACTGGGCGTGGAGCGATAGGTAGGTATGTCCAATATTCGGAATTTAACCATATAATTAACAGAAAACTATGCTTTTACATAGACAATAGAGAAACACAGAGAAGACGAATAAGAATAACCACTTACCAAAATACTTTGGCCTTTAGGAACAAACAATTGATCACGTTGCTCTTTTTCGGCTCATGAAAAAATCCGCACAAGGCGATTTGGTGCTAATATAACGGATAAGCCACCCTAGATCTGTGAGCGAAAACTTGGCAACTCAGAAATCGGCAAAATGTGCCTGAGGAGTTTTTCCGAACACTTAATCGTGGAAAGTCCTCGACCTGAATGACCTCTGCTTGTCCCTTCAATGTCCTTTAAAAAGGTTTTGTCAAAACTCCAAGGTGAAGGGTTCTGAGGAATTTTGATGGTAGTTGGGGCATGGGACTTATTCAAATTAAGTTAGTACCGGTCATTGATCCTATTTGGAGCGCTGTCAATCTAATCAATCTAATCGGATCAGACAATTAGCTGTTTTAATTGTAAATATTCTGATTTTGTTTCATTAATAAATTAATTGTCTATTTATTTTAACCCTACTAAAAGGAAATCAATTTCATCATTAAACTTCTAACTTGATGATTCTGGAAAGAATGAAAAGTTTGATGAAAAGTGTGGCCACGACTATTGGATAGAAAATAGTGGCTTGACGAAGGTATGCTATTCAGTGAGGCGAATACGCTTCTTTCCTTTTATTTTGGCCCAGGAAAAATCATCCCGTAACATTAAAACAAATGGAGACATTATCATAAGAATTGCCAATGTTTCTTCCGAAACAGTAAGAACAAAAGAAGGAGACATTATTGGAATTCTCGAACCAGTTAAGCAAATATCGAACTGTGACCTACCAGATAGGCGACATTTTGTGGAATCGAAATTAAATACAGACACCTTGATGCAGAGCTTGGCGAAATCATGGAAACATCTCGATCCAGATAGCCTTCAAGAAGCCACAGATTTCATCTTGAAAGAAGCAGACGTATTTGTGATGGATATTCAAACCGGACGGACCAGCTTAATTCAACACAAAATTGATACTGGATTGGCACACCCAATTAGACAACCACCACGACGTATGCCAGTAGCTAAACAACAGGAAGTGGAAAACCAAATTGATAAAATGCTTCAAGAAGGAATCATTGAAGAGTCAAATAGTTCATAGTCTGCGCCAGTAGTATTGGTTAGAAAGAAAGATGGGAGTCTTAGATTTTGTGTGAACTACCGAAAGCTTAACCTTCCGGTACACGCGCGCGGACTCTCGGTCCGCAGCAATTCAAATTCAACTGTCATTCCGAAGCCCGCCGCGCCCGAACCTTACCGGTCTCAGTACCTTCCGGACTTGTGCCGATGTGTTTTAGTTTGTAGTGAGCGCCCGAAGCGTGCACCTGTTCTGGAGTTATTGGTGATTGCGGAGTGTGAGTCCGCGCGCGTGTAAACTTGCACCAATAATTTACCTAGGTTTTTGCTTTTGATTGTGCTATAAAAAAAATCAGGAGGTAAGTTTTCCAGTACTTCTTTGAAATGTGTGATAAGTTAGGCTACTAGAAGAGAATGGAAAAGGAAATTTTGGGTTTTGGTCGAAAAATTGAAAATAGTCATTTTTTTACCGAAGCTTTTTTTTTCAGAATGGGTTCATATGAAAAAGAGCAGCTATATTTACAAAATTTGCTGGATGAAACTATGTTAGAGGATGAATACGCAGATATCGAATACGATGACGAAGAAGATCAAGGGGAGGAGGACATTTTAGAAGAAAGAACGGATGATTCAGATTCAGAACAAAATATTTCCGAAACTGAAGAAGAAGCACAAGCACCAGAACCAGAACCTGAACCTGAACCTGAACCAGAACCAGAACCAGAATCAGCTAAGGGTCCATTTTTCATAGGAAAAGATAAAATCACCAAGTGGGAAAAACACCAACCACAAAAAAAAGTGAGGACAAGGGCTGAAAATTTGATAAAACAGCTACCTGGTCCCAAGGCTGCTACTAAGAAGTTGAAAGATCCACTTGAAATCTGGAGATATTTTTTTCCTGATGAAATTTTGAATACCATTGTTGATCGGACAAATGAACATATTCGTGCAACAGCAGGAAACTTTTCTCGTGATAGAGATACTGCTCCCACTGGTATATGTGAGATTCAAGCGTTATTTGGCTTACTTTATATGGCTGGAGTCCTCAAATCAAGTCGCTTACATGTGAGGGAATTATATAGTTCTCAGGGAACTGGGGTGGAGATTTTTCGCTTGGTTATGTCAGTAAACAGATTTCAGTTCCTTCTTAGACATCTTAGGTTCGATGATGCTGTAACTCGAGATGAGCGAAAAAAACTGGATAAGTTGGCCCCAATAAGAGAAGTGTTTGATGCTTTTGTCATAAAATGTAAAAATGCCTACACTCCGTTTCATTATGTCACGATTGATGAAAAATTGGAAGCCTTTCGTGGACGCTGTGCCTTCAGGCAGTATATTCCGAACAAACCCAACAAGTATGGGATAAAGATTTTTGCCTTAGTGGATTCGAAGTGCTATTTTACATCAAATCTAGAAGTCTATGTCGGGAAGCAGCCAGATGGTCCCTATGCTATAAGCAATTCCCCAACTGCTGTGGTTCAGAGACTTTGTGAGTTTATAAAAGGTTCTGGAAGAAATGTTACGACTGACAACTGGTTTACTAGTATAGAGTTACTAGAATCACTGTACTCTGACAAACTAACGTTGCTTGGCACAATCCGCAAAAACAAGAGGCAGTTACCAGCAGAATTTACTCAACCAGCAAAATCACGTCCAGTCCAATCTAGTATGTTTGGTTTTCGTCAGAATGTAACGCTTGTCTCCTACAAACCCAAAGCCAATAAGAATGTGTTATTGGTATCCAGTCTACATCATGACGACAGTATAGATAGAAACACGGGAAAACCCGATATGATTATGGACTACAATATGACTAAAGGTGGCGTCGACACTGTTGACAAGCTCTGTGCTGCTTACGATTGCGCAAGAAATACCCGAAGATGGCCAATGGTTGTGTTTTATTCCTTACTGAATATTGCTGGCATCAATACGATGGTATTACACAAATGCAATAGTCCAAATACCAGCAGAAGGAGGGAATTTTTGCGAAATTTGGCTTTCCAACTGGTCGACAGTCACCTTCGTCAAAGAGCTCAACTCACTTGCTTACCGAAGACACTAGTATCAAGAATCAGAGAATTAACTGGATATGAGGAACCAACACAACCCCCAGTACCTGTAGATGCTAACCCTGTTCTAAAACGGGGTCGTTGTCATTACTGCGACCGGAAAAAGAATCGACCCACCAAATACTCCTGCACAAAATGTGGAAAATATATGTGCTTGGAACATAGCACTTTTATTTGTGAAGAATGTGTTCAAAATGTTACTGATTGAATAAAAATCTTCATCGATACATGTTTTTCATTATCCATTGACATTTAACTTCATATTTGATGAAAAACTATAATTTTTGAAGATGCGGACTCACAGTCCGGCGCGTGTTGTCTTGTCAAAATTAGGGGCGCGTGTACCGGAAGGTTAATGACGTCACCAAGAAGGATAGCTTCCCTCTCCCGAGAATAGACGATACATTAACAACTCTATCAGGCTCCAAATAATTTTCCACCTTGGATCTCAAAAGTGGATACTGGCAAGTGGCAATACACGAAGATGACAGAAAGAAAACTGCCTTCAGTACCGGAAGCGGGCTATACCAGTTCAACGTAATGCCTCGGATTGTGTAACGCTCCAGATACGTTTGAGCGATTGATGCATTTTGTTTTGTGTGGCCTTACATGGAGAACTTGCCTGGTATATTTAAATGAATTCATGATCATTGGAAATTCATTCCAAGAACATCTCAATAATCTGAAAGACATTTTTGACCGCTTCCGGAATGTCAACTTGAAACTCATCCCAAACCAATGTTTTCTATTTCAAAAGAAAGTGGAATTCTTAGGTCACGGGGTATCTGAAGATGGCATACAAGTTATGGAAGGGAAGATAGATGCTGTCAGGGATTGGCCAAAGCCACGCGACAAACATGAACTATGGAGTTTTCTGGGATTATGTTCTTATTATCGAAGATTTGTGGAAGGTTTTGCCAATATAGCTGCTCCGCTTCATCGATTAACGGAAGAAATATCAAGATTTAATTGTACCCAAGAATGCGACTGTGCTTTCAGAAAATTGAAAGGAGCATTATGTAGGAGCCCAGTGTTTTCCTATCCCGATCAGAAGGGCATGTTGATTTTGGACACAGATGCAAGCAACACCAGTGTTGGAGCGGTACTTTCACAAATTCAAAATTCACAAGAGCATGTCGTAGAGTATTACAGCAGGACCTTATCAAAGCCAGAACGAAATTATTGCGTCACCAGAAGAGAGTTGCTCGCCATAGTAAAAGCAGTCGACCATTTCCATAAGTATCTCTACGGACGTAAATTTCTAGTTCGGACGGATCACGCAGCTCTAAAATGGCTTTTAGAAATGAAAACTCCTGAAGGACAGCTTGCTAGATGGATTGAGAAGTTGCAGCAATACGATTTCCAAATTAAACATCGACCTGGAAATCTGCATAAAAATGTTGACGCTCTGTCTAGACGGCCATGCAAAGAAGACTGCAAGCATTGTCAAAGATTCGACATGCATGAGAAAAACAATGGTCCGGCTGTGAGAAGGACAGGTCTGATCGTTGATGATAAATGGACTACCAAACAAATGAGAGCAGATCAAGAAGCAGACCAGGACATCGGGCAATTTCTTCATCTTAAGGAAAATGATGAATGTAGGCCGGAATGGAGGAAAGTGTCGAACAAGAGTTTGATTTACCAGGCGTTGTGGGCCCAGTGGAACTCTCTGACCGTAGAAAATGGTTTACTCAAAAGAGTCTGGGAAAGTGCCGATGGGAAATCCACTAAGAGCCAACCGGTTATCCCAAAAGACCGAGTGGAAGATGTATTGAAAAAAATACATGACGGAACTCCAGGGGCACATTTTGTAGTAAACAAGACTTTGGATAAAAATCGGGAACGTTTTTACTGGGTTCACTATCATGAAGACGTTAAAAACTGGTGCCGAAAATACGACATCTGTGCTACCAGTAAAAGCCCTAAACTAAGATCTCGGGGGCCCATGAAACAGTACAACGTCGGTCTCCCATTTGAAAGAATAGCAATAGATGTTGCCGCACCGCTCCCTGAGTCAGAGCGTGGTAACAAATACATCTTGGTTATCATGGATTACCTCAGTAAATGGCCAGAAGTTTTCGCTATTCCCAGTCAAGAAGCCATCACGATTAGCCAGATGCTAGTGGACGAAGTTTTCAGTCGTCATGGTGTGCCACTAGAGTTGCATTCAGATCAGGGACGAAACTTCGAATCTGCCATCTTTAAGAAAATTTAAGAGATCATGGGCATTCGTAAGACAAGGACAACACCTTTACATCCAAAATCTGATGGCATGGTAGAACGATTCAATAAGACCATAGAGGAACACCTGAGAAAAGTGGTCGCAACGAACCAGCGAAATTGAGACAAGCATTTGCCCCTTTATGTAATGGCTTACAGAGCAGCTGTTCACGAGTCAACAGGTGAAAGTTCAGCTAGAATCGTTTTTGGAAGGGAGCTCAGGTTACCTTGCGATCTGATGTATGGAATACCTGAAGAAGAACAAAGAGAAATTCGAGATTATGCCGAGGAAGTAAGGGGACGACTTTTGGGTATATAGGATTTTGCTCGGGAGCATATCCAGCTGGCCAGTGATCGAATGAAAACCAGATACGACTTGAAAGCCAATTCGGCCGGATTTCAAGAAGGTGATTTAGTGTGGCTGTATAATCCAGCAAGAAAGAAAGGAGTGTCGCCGAAGTTCTCTTCAGCATGGGAAGGACCCTACAGAATAATCAAGAGAATAAATGATTTGGTTTATTGGGTTCAGCGCAACACCAGGAGTAAGATGAAAGTTGTACATCTAGACAGATTAACGAAATATCATGGGCGTGAAGTTGATCGGGACGATCAACCTTAAGAGCAGGGCAGTGTTACGACGCATCCGCCAGCCTGTCGAGAATCCTAGAAATTGCACATTCCTATAATTTAGTAAATTCTACTTTAATCGGGAAAATAAGATTATGGCGTTTATTCTAGATCAGGTATAAATGAATGGATTTAGGGATATATAAGGCCGGTGTTACTGGGTAGTTTTTAAGTTTAAGTTTGACTGTGATACGATTTAAATAGTGATTATTATTGCGAATTGTAAAGAGTTTAGTTGTTGAGTTAGTAATTAGTGTCAAAGTGTATAGTTACGTGGAATAAATTATTGCTGTGTTAATTGGACTTTGATTTTGGAATAAACGAATAACGAACCCAAGATTTCTGTCAGGCAACCCAGAGCCGTGACAATATACTATTTTTAGATTCATGTACATCATTTTCCTATGCTTACATTATGTATCTTTTGTCAGAAAATTGATTTCCCTATCAGAAAAGAGAGTATCTGTCTTCCCTAATTCTAAGGTCTGAGTCCCGAAAAACTAAAACCGTTACACTCTATCATTCACAAATATATTTCAAAATTAATAAAACGTTTAAACGTCTTTGTAAAGTCAACTTTGATCCAGACAGACAATTATCAGCTTAAAATATGGTTTGTCTACAATTCCCAGAGTACCTCACATGTATCAGAGACCTAGAAGGAAGAATATGTTATGAATTATTATACCATAGGATAGTTAGTAGTTAACGTGCCTAAATTTCGGGAACACTTCCTTTACAACTTTTATGGGTCTATTTATCAAGGAAACAAAACTAGCCTATCGTTTTCACTTTTCGTTAATCAATTTATTATAAATACTGTTCTGACTAATAAATACTTAAAAACTAAAAATAAAAATCACAAAAATGGTATATTATAATACAGCAAAACCGTCAAGTAATATAAAAAAAAAAGACGGGTCATTGAAATATTGACATCATGGCAGTGGCAACTTCGTCGGAAATTGCAATAGGAAATTAACATAAATAACTATAATGAAAATTAATAAATACAAAATTACATGCAAGAATTTTAAAGTAAAAAATTTTCAATTGGTTAAATATTCATTGGTAAAATTTAAATCAAAACAGCAGATAATTTACATCATGCTCCCAAACATCCTTTTGCCTCTGGTCAGGATCAAACTGACTGCCATTACTGACAGTAGAAAAAAGACCAAGCCCAAAAAGGAGGTGAGAACGCGGCACCGAAACCTCCATTTTTTGTCTTCGCGTAATCGTTTCGAGAGCAACTCGGAACGTGGCACGTCTAGGGTGAAATCAGCTTCGGGACGACCTCCAGGCTGGAAAAAGAAAAAACAAAATTATTCCACAACATTTCATTAAAGGATGTAAGTAAGTACACATATAAATTGCGTAATAAAGTTTAAGAACCTATGACATTAGGTCGGTATATAGATAGTTAAATCAATACTTGTAATACACGCACTTTCTCCGATAATAAAATAATAGAGTTACGTCATTGGCCATTGCAATGTCTGGGATAACCCAGAGCGGACACCGGTAACCCAGTGAACTGAAATGGCTACCGTACATGCCAGATTTGGCATCTATTGATTTGTCGTTGCTATTTTTTATACGGACTTTGATTGCGAAAAGCTGCCACTATAAAGTCATCTGTTGTCTAGATTAAATTTTTATTTTTATTAAACTAATTTTCGTAAATTGAAATGAGAAATCAGTGCAAATTAGATACATTATTATCTGGTTTTTCCAAGTTTACCATATTGCTCTAATTATTGAAAAATATAAAATCAATACTTGTCAACTTTCCTTATCATAAGGAAACACAAATATTTGATTTAAATACTATAAATTCATTTTAATTGAAATTAATTTTTATTTTAAGTGCCTTTTATGACATCTATCAAGTTATATAATAAGATTTTTACATTATTATGTTCCTGGGGAAAATATGTTTCCATAACTTTGCTTTCAATTATTTCTATTTTTACAAAATGATGTGGTACCTACTTTACTACTAGGGATGCCAATAGTATATTGTGTATTTAGGTGGAAAAGTGACACATTCTCGGCCGACGGTATAAGTTGACGGGCGAGGCGCAGCGGAGGCCGGCAAACACCGAAGGCCGAGAATGTGCTTTTCCACCGAAATACACATACTATTTTTTCTGCGATCGGTTAAATACCTGTTAAATGCTTGTCTTCTGGTTCCAATTATTCAGCAGTACTAGAATCACTTTCCCGGCCTAGGCCGGAAAAGTGTTTCCCGTATTGTTATTCATTGATTCCTTAGCAACTATTGAAATATAATTAAAATACCAGAATATTCAGTTTTGCGACCTGTCAACCAGCCAAAAATACTGACATTTCTTGTCAATCGCAGAAAAAATTATTTTTCCGAAGCATCAACGGGAAATATTGACATGGCCTGGAATGAAATTAAATCTACGATTCTGACTGCCGCGGAGCAAGTTGTAGGCAAAAAAGAGCATACTGCTTAGGAAAAAACCATGGATGGCCCAAAAAATTATAAATCTTATAGAAGAAAAGCATGAATCTTAGAACACACAACTGAAACAGCTTATAGGACACCACATGGAAAGATCCAAAGAAAGAAGGATAAAAGGATTATTTCAATCTACATCATAAAAAATTGAACAAATTAACTGGAAACACCAATGGTCACAAGAAACATCCAGGGAGAGATTCGGTTGACAGAAGATAGCAAAAAACAGACTTGAGATGACTACATCAAACATCTATTTGCAGCAAAACAAGATGACGTAAGAGAAGAAAACAGACAGATCGAAAAGCTATGTATTCTTAAATCAGAAGTGGAGCATAAATTTCGACTGGACCTGGCAACATTCCAACATAGTTCTTGAAGACCTTGGACGATGGAAACTTAACTCATCTTACAAAAGTACTCAACAAAATCTATAAGACAGAGGAAATTCCAAAAGATTGGCTTAAAACAGTCATCATTCCCTTACCTAAAAAGAACAACCCTAAGTATCCTGTGAGTCAAACACTAAGTACCTACTTTTGAGAATAGTCCAACATAGAATATATCGAAAATATGAAGAACAACTAGATGAGACTAAGTTTGGCTTTAGAGCAGGATTAGGAACAAGAGAAGCATGATGGGCATCACAGTACTGCTTTAACCTCTTATCTAAGTTTAAAGTATCAACTGATGATACGTCAAGGCCATATGAGCTTCCCATAAGTCTTTCAAAGGCGGAGGAACTGTAGGTTGATTTTGAGAAGGTTCCGCAAGAGATCGAGGAGTTACGTGCAGACGACGCGATCGATGAACAAGATGAATGCGATTCTTTCTATACTGCATTTTTTGATATTGTCGGTCGATTAAATATCCTTAAATCACCAGCTAATACAGGTACAAGCGAATCCAGCGGTGGCCAGGCCAGAAATAAGACTTCCTACTACATTTTACGGATCATATTATAAGCATTGGTGTGAATTTCTAGACATTCAACTCGCTTGTAGATGCAAATCTAACATTAACCGACATTCAAAGGTTTTATTACCTAAAGGGCGCGCTCAAGGGTAGTGCTGCAGATGTAATACATTCATTAGAGGTATCGTCAATCAATTATATGGTAGCTTGGGATTTACTAAAGGAAAGGTTTGAAAATAAAAAGGTTATAGCATGTAGCCACATCCAGTCTGTGTACAGTTTTCCGAATATATGCAAAGAGTCTCACACAGATCTGAGAAGATTTGTAGACGAAATTAGAAGAGATTTAAGGGCGCTTAAAACATTGGGGCTAGGTGTTGATTATTGGGAACCTTTACTAGTTCACATCATTGCAAATCGCCTGATCATTATTTACAAGCTTGTAAGGTCATTGCTTGTAGGATATTTATCGACTTGGCCGTTCAAGGTAAAAGGGAGGTGGTCAAAGAGGCAGGCCTATGTTGGAACTGTCTTCGACCAGGACACAGGGTGCAAGCTTGTGCGTCAGGCAGTTGCAGGCATTGCAAGGGGAAGCACCACTTCTTATTGTATCATGATGAGAGTGGAGGCGACAGGGTTTGGATGTAGGTAAGAAAACGAGGAATGAAGGTACTTCTAACAGGATTGACTTATCATTTCACGGGCATAAGTCAAAGGAAGAGAATAATAGATTTGAAAACAAGGAAGAATTAAGAGGCTTCAGAAGCTATTTTTTCTACTGACAGAATTGAGGTTTGAGATCAACAAGGTGAGCTACATGAATGCACTGCTCTGTTGGATTGTGGTTCGCAATCGTCGTTTATGACGAGGAACTTGAGGGATAAATCACAGCTTCCAATGAAGGACACAAACATCTCTATATTAGGCACTGGTTCCGGGTTTACCCAGGTAACACGAGGGGTGGATACAAGGATTTATTCAGTCAACACTGACTACTCGACGGAATTCGGTTTCTTGATAATAAATAGGATTTCTAGTGCTGTTCCATCGAATAACCTAAATGTCTCATTGTTAGGAATTGCAAATGATATTGTTTCAGGTGACAGATCGTTCGGTACCGTAGGAAGTGTGGATGTATTGCTCGGGGCTTCTATATTTTGGGATATCTTAGGAACTGAGAGGATAGAGTTAGGTAAGGACAAGCCTATAATTCAGGGTAAACAACTAGGGTATGTTATAGCAGGGAAGTTGAGCAATGGTTTTGGAACAGATTTCAGGCCAGATCAAGGTTGTAATTTGGTTTCTAAAATATCTGTGCAGGAGCAATTTGAGAGGTTCTGGGTTCTGGGGGAAGTTGGATATAATAAGCCTCGTACAAGAGAGGAAGAAGAATGCGAGAAGAGGGATCATGAAGGGCGGTTTATTGTCAAATTACCTATTCGGCTAGGAACACCTGACCTTGGGGATTCAATAAAGGCGGCTGTTAAAAGAGGTTAATTAGCATGGAAAGAAAGCTGGAATGGGAATCAGAGTTAAGGGAGCTGTATCATGCTGCAAGAGTATATCGATATGGGGTTAAGGCAATTGATAGCACGCAGCAGGCGACATCGGGTGTTTATTAACCTCACCATCCTGTGTTGAAGAGAACTTCGCTTACAACTAAATTACGTGTGGTATTCGATGCAAGCGCTGCTTCAACTAGTGGTGCTTCATTGAATGATTGTCTAATGCTAGGGCCCAAGTTACAGGGCCACGTTTTCGATATATTTTCAAGAATCTGGCTGCATTTAGTGGTTATAACGGCTGATGTAGAGAAAATGTTTCGTCACGTTTGGGTTGCGGAAGAGCATACGGATCTCCAAAGGGTTCTGTGGCGGTTCGATAAAAATGAGCCAATGGGTCATTACCGTTTAAAAACGGTAACTTCTGGAATGGCGTTCTCAAGGTATTTGGCTGTTAGATGCATGCAACAACTGGCTAAGGGGGTTTCAAAGAATTCTTCAGCAGCCAGGGTAGTGAGAAGGGACTTCTATATGGATGATTTGCTAACGAATGCTGAAAGCATTGAAGATGCAAGGGTTCCCAAGGAGAAAATTAGTCAGTTGCTTGCTTTGGGGGAGTTCGTCTTGAGAAAATGGAAATCTAACAGTCCAGAGGTGATTCTAAGTAATGGAGAAGCAAATGATATCAAGTTTTAGTGACACTTCGAAGACTTTGGGAATACGCTGGAACTCGTAGCTCGACATTTTAGGCTACGATTGCCCAGCTGATTACGAAAATGTGGTGGAAGAAGTAACAAAGCGTCAGATATTGTCATTGATTGCGCAAGGGCAAGCTAGGTTAGGATGGGATGATAAGGTGCCGGAGGAGGTTTTGCTACCATGGTTAAGTAAACAAAGGGAGTTTGGAAAGTTGAAGAAAATTGAAACCATCCTAGGTCAGATATTGTCTGTCTCATCGATCGTACTGTGTTGGCTAGCCATAGAGCCATAATTCTGCGGATCTATCTGGTGTCTAGGGGGATCGATAGTGATAACCTAAAGGTGAATTCTTTATGATGAAATGGACCTTGGTGTTTGGCGAGGGATAAACAATATTGACCACTTGATAAATTAATAATATCATTTCTGACCAAATGCGAGTCCGCCGCAGCTATGAATTTTTCGTATGTTTTTCAGAGGTTTTCAAGTTTCAGCCGATTGCAGCAGGTTGTGGCATACTATAGGCGATTTTTAAACAACATAAGGGTCTAAAAGGAACAATTGCAAGAGGAGCCATTGACAGTCGATGAGCTCGATGGAGCTTTGATCGTTATAATAAAAATGGTTCGAGGTGAGGACTTTTTTAAGGATTTGAGATCTATCTCTAAGGGTGACAATGTTGACAACAGCAACAAAC